AAACTAACACTGATGTGCACTCTAAATGCAATTATTTTTTAATGACTTGTCTCAAACTAAACCAACATCGTAATAATTAGCTTTATTTATTTTTATTTTTTCGAAACGATAGAGATTGATATAATAAAAAAGCACAAAAGTGCAAATACAGCCCATAGCTGAATAAACAGCTACCAACTAAAAAACTGAGAGGACAAGTCAGAAGACCGCTTAGAACCTCAACTAGCCAAGCTAGAATAAAAACAGACTCAACACACTACCACTAACTACTACCAACAACTAGAATCGCTCCCCACAGGAGAATAGGATCGGCCCCCACGGGGTAATCAACACAGGGGCCAACGGCCCAGACCAAAAAAAGATACATAATAGACTCAGACAAAGAGCCCAGACCAAAAACACTTTACTAAAACAGACTCAAGAACAACAAGAAATCAGAATAGGGCCCTTCCCCAGCAAACGAAAGAGCTCGACCTGCAGTGAAACGATCGACACAAGAGAGATTCCAGGTTCGAGCAACAACTACCGAAACTGCAAAACGCCTATACAGTAGAATCGATCAAACCCCAAACCAATCGCAAAATCGACCAATTAGCTTTATTGATATGTTAACTTAATTAAGATAATTAATATTTATTTATTTTTTAAATAAAGTCATTAATGAAGTGAACTACTAATATTATGTAGATATACTTTATAGATTTATATGGGGTGGTTTGTGGCTGGAATTATCGACGTTTAATTGTGGGAATGTCACGATAAAGGGCACCACAATGTTTTTTAGTTTGCAACGCGTTATTTCATAAAGTGCAACATGACGATGTATAAAGTAAAAATACTGTAAGGTTAGTATGTTTGCACGATATTTTTCGGGAACAAATGATGTGATGTATGATAATTGATAAACTATCATGTTGACCCGTTTTTTAGATTCATGTTATGTTGTATTTTGGTGGGAATTATTGATGTTAATTGTGAAGTGTGTTGATAAAGTGTAGCTTGTTGCTTATAAAGTGCAACATATTGTGTTATAAAGTGCAAAAGTGTTTTTTATAAAGTGAAATAATTTACAAGATCCCATATAAATTAAGTGTACTCGAAAAAAAAAAATTAATAGATATAATTGTACAAATAATTAATTTAAATAATTTATATATTTTATTAGTTATTATTATTATGAATATTATTATTTATTATATATTTTGTTTATTATTATAAATTATTTTATATTATTTTTATTTTATATTATTTATATTTAATAATTTACTTTTTAATTAATATGTGTATATGTTTAGTATAGATTTGATGGGCAAGGGGTAACCGAGCTACCCGACTCGGGTCGATCTCGAGGGAAGGCTATTCGGAGCTTTACTCGCCATTCAATCGCTCAAATCACAAAAATGGAAAATAAAGTCCTAAACATACTAATCAATTTGGATTGAGGTTGATTAATGCTAATTACGACTATTGAAAGCAAGTAAACGAGCAACGAGCAAGTGAACGAACCACGAGATTCTAGCAACTAATCCGGTTAGCAAAATCAAGAGCAACAAAAGCGAAAGTAAGAGAAACGAACTCCATTTAGCATACTTAAGAGCCAAAACCGAAATCCTACTACGAAATAACCGAGCTAAATGTAAAGTC